TTTTACATAAAGTCCCTTTCTGTTGTCAGAAAGACTATGAGGCCATACTAGTACTCCCTTTTGTGAATGGGGAAATGGTATTCAGAGAGCCTTGAGTCAAGGTGCTTGCCGGCTTAGCAGTAGAGCTGGGAATCAAACCTAGGTCTGTCCAGTTTAAATCCCACCCTCTTTCTCCCCAAAGAGCCAAAGACGAGTACTTCTAAGAATAAGATGAAATATTGCCATTTACTGCCCTTCTAGTCACTTGATCATATAACTTATAGTAAAACTGATATTTTAAATATAGACTTTGAACAAATGGAGGAGAAATTTTTGCTAAACCATAAGGATAAGCTGGAGCTATGAAGGAGAAAAATTCTCCATATCCATATAGCAGATTGTAAAATTCATTATAGTGTCGTCAAAAGAAAGGTACTTACCACTTTTGCATGGTCTTTTCGGCGTTGCCTTCACTGAAATAGGTATCAGGTTAAATTGTGACTTGTGCTTTAAGGGGGATCTTGACCACTAAGTGCAGGAGATTCAGAATAAACTGATGAAGGGTTTTGGAGCCACTGCAAGCAAATAATGATTGAAAGAGCCTCAGGTTATACAGTTTGGAAAAGAGAGAATGTGGGCTTTGAAGGATTATCCTGTGTGGCCCCAGAAAGAAGACCTAGAACCAATGAGTGGTAGTTTTAGGGAAATGGATTTAGGCTCAAAATTAGGAAACAGAACTGCTTTGTGTTGGAGATGAGGTTTCTGAAGGGCTGTGAAAATGCTTAAACTGGAAGGTACTCAGATGGATGCTATAGGGTCTATTGGCTGGCACATGGTACAGGAGGTACTCCATCATCGTTTGTTGTTTATGAGAATGTTATAGGAGAGATGTGGACTAAATATTCTGTAAGTTCTCTTTTGGTTCTGAGATTCTTTAACTTCTGAAATCATTTACTAAAAAAAAAAAAAAAATGATGTGTCTCAAAAAATACAAAAAAGAAAAAAGACACTAGAAACCCTGCGTGGTGCTCTAGCAAATGCTTACTTTACTCTATAGATGCCGCCATCTGCTCACTTAGAACACACTGTACAATAAATCAACCAAGCTTTCACCGAGAACTTGTGACAAGTTGAGCAACTTGCCAGACACTGGAAGAAAAGGGTCAAACCATAGGACGCAATACAAGAATACAAAGTTCACATTTCTCTGTCTACCCCATTTGGGGCTTGGCTACCCAGCAGAGAAGTACAATAATTGATTTCCTCTCTTAACCACAAAGTGCTGATTCCTGGCATAACAGAATTGAACCTGGATAATAGAGATGTGCAGAAGGAAACAATTTTCAGATAAAATAACATTATTCCTGGCGAAACAGGCACACGTTGTTGAATTCTTATTGTGGTTGTTGGCAGAAAAGAAGTCAGCGCTGAATGTTGGCAGGTAGAGCGTTTCCATATTTCATTTCAAGTTGGGGGACAAGGCAAAAGTTCCGATCTTATTTTGGAAACAAAATAAAACAAAAATAAATATCTACCCATGTTCTTCGCTCTCTAAAAATGTCAAAACAAAAGTTTTTGTTTTTGTTTAATTTTGAGTTAATTGAGAAAAATGAGAATCTCTAAGCAAGGTGGCTGCTGCCTTTTCTACTCTGCAGAAAGAGTAAGCGTATAGCCATGGCTCGTCCATGGAATTGTCTGCTCATGAATGGACAGATAATTTTATCTCCGTGGACTTCTCTTTTGCATTTTGTATTAGTAACCACAAGTGCTCAGCCATTCCATTTCCTATTTAAGCATACACGTTTGCAAATTGTTGTTCTATAAAACAGGTAGGTGCTCATCTGCCCAGAAGTCAACGGCTGGGGCACTGGTTCTGGCCCCAGAAGGCAGCTCCTGTGGGAGGTGTGGAGGTGGGCTAAGGAAAAGGGAGGAGCACATAGACGATTAAACCTTTTATGGCTTTTAGATTGTTGCCACCATCCTCTCTGCCCCAGGAAGCAAGAAGCCATATTTGTTCAATATTGTCACCCAATGATGTGAGCACTTTAGCATAGAGATGCCCCTGAGTTCAAGCACACTCAGTGCATTATCCACTGATCTCTAGGGGTGACCCGCCCAGGAGGAGTCCCAGTTGGGTAACTCTTGGTTTGGCAATCCGAGGTATTGATCACTTGATAGCCTAATGCTTCTTGTATTGACAAATAATTTTTGTTTTTCAGAACTTTTCTGAGTTAAGAGCCTTTTCTTTTCTAGTTACTATAATCAGATTATCTTAATTATAGAAGCAGGACAGCACTATCCCATACGATGACTTTTTATGAACAGAAAAATGTGCCATGTCCTGCACGATAGCGGGAAACCACCACCTGGCTTGGGATGCACAAATGCACACTGGGGCTTGGGATGGACGTCAGTTTTCTTTGGCTCTCTTGACCTGATGCCCTCGGGCAGGGTGCAACTTGCACGACTATCTACAGTGGCTTAGATGAAACCTACACTTTTATTGTTAAGAAACTTTTCAAAGTCCAAGGCTCAGGCGATAACAGAATGCTAAGTTTAGTATGCGTTTGTTTTCACGGTAAGTGCTTTTAAATGGTGATAAAAACATGAATCGCAAGCTCAGTATTTTGACATTGATCTATTTGAAATAGTTTTCATAGTTGGAGTATCAGCCCTCGAAGTTTAAAATTATTTTGTGAAACTTTCTTTCAGCATTTCTTACCTATCACATGAAAGACTCCACTTTTAATACCTGGATCGGGTTGAATGACGTCAATTCAGAACACACGTTCCTTTGGACGGATGGGCGAGGAGTTCATTATACCAATTGGGGGAAAGGTTACCCTGGTGGAAGAAGAAGCAGTCTTTCTTACGAAGATGTAAATATCAGTTTCGGGTCACCTCTTTCTATACCATCAGCTTGCATAGAGCCATCATATTGTTGATTAATCTTTTGTGAAAAATTTACAAGAGTACTCCTTGATCTGGTCCATTCTTCCATATTTTAACTGTTTTAGACTGAGACCACCTTGAGGAAAGGGGTATCAATTGAGTTAAGAACTCTTTGGCTTGGGGGAATGGCAGTTAGTGACAAGTAGGGAAACCCAGTTCCATTCTGAGCTTAACTCATAGTCAGAACAAACACTTGAAATAAAATCTGTAATCTCACAATCCAGGAAAAAACATTTAATTTTTTGTTGAATTTACTCCTAGACTTTTGCTTTTCTCTTCAAATTTTGTGTGTGTGTGTGTGTGTGTGTGTGTCTGTGTGTTTACTGAGACAGGACCTCACTCTGTCACTCAGGCTGGAGTGGAGTGATGTGATTACAGCTCATTGCAACCTGGAACCCCTAGACTCAGGTGCTCCTCCTCCCTCAGCCTCCTGAGTAGCTGGGACTACAGGTGTACACCACCATGCCCAGCTAATTTTTTTATTTTTTGTGGAGACAGGGTCTTGCTATGTTGCCCAGGCTGGTCTTGAACTCCTGGCCTCAAGCAATTCTCCTGCCTTGGCCTTCCAAAGTGCTGGGATTACAGGTATAAGCTACCATGCCCAGCCCAAATTACATTTTTTATCTTTTAGTATATCTTGTATTTTTGTGTTGAAAGTTGGATATGATGTACTAGTAGACAAAGGGAACTGAGGTGAATAGACCTTTAGTGTGAGGTTTTATGTTTATCCAGCTATGGGTTTAGGCTGTGTTTGCTTTTTGCTGTAGCTGTAGATGTCAGAGGCTAAAATTTTCTGTGGTGTCCTTGTTTTTATTGCTCCTGTTATCTTTGGGTTTTTCTAAAAGTTTCTTAAATAACATGGGAGAAGCACAGTTATTCAATACAGGACCCTATTATTATTTAATACATAGGAGCCCTACTGATTTGGTGACAAGGTACGGGGGAGGGGAAGTGTTCTATAACTCTATGATTAGTCCCTTAGTGAGCCTGTGCACCTGGGCTGTGACCTCCAAAAGTGCTTCTTTGTTTTGTTTTGTTCTTTTACCCCTCAGGTGAGGCAGGAAGGCTAGAGTGAGCTGGAGTTGGGTCCTGCCCTTCTCCCAGGTGGCTTAATGTGTGGCAAAACCCCAGTCGCTCTTCAGAGTGGGTCTTATTAGAACACAGTGCCAAAATGGTTCTTTTCCCACTTCCTCTGTGGGAAGCAAGAGGGGATTTTTTTTTTTCTTCTTCTCTGTCTTCACTGTGAGAGCCCGGTAAAGGCTTCTGGCAGAAAAACTCACAAAAATGTAGGGATCTCCCTAAGACTGCCTCCCTCCCACCCCAGCCGAGAGATTTTAATTTTCAAACTTGTCCACTTGGAGCCGCCAGCAATTTGGCAATGACAGTTTCATTTTTCCCACCTCAGTGCTGGTTTCCGTGGAGTTTTCTACTGCTGGGATTCTGCTGTGGTCAGTGGTGATTCCCTACATGCCCCCCATTTCTCTAATGTGGGGGACAGCAGTCTGTCTTGTGATCTCCATTTTCTAATGTATTTAAAAAAGAGTTGTTGATTTTCAGTTTTTTCAGCCCTTTTTGGGGTGTGTGTGTGTCTGTATGCGTGTGTGTGTATGTGAGAGAGAGAGATAGTGAGAAAGTGTATATTCTAAGTGTGCATTTTTCATATATGTCAGTTTCAAAAGGAAGGGGAAATGGAAAAAACATTGAGGTGAAACTTAAATGAGCAAAAACCAACCTCCTAAAAGACTTGGGCCAAGTGTAGCCAATGGGGTAGTCTGTGACCGTGTACCTGTAGGAAATTCCCAGAAGCTGGTCACTGCGTCCATAGCCCTAACCACTCCCGTACGGCTGGGTGGCAGCAGTGGAAACTCAGCCCTGTAGAAGGGTGAGTGTGTATCTGGACTGACAATCGAAGCCATAGGTACAAGAAGAGCACAGCTCAACCAGTTTAAGCAGTAAGGGAATTATATTATCTCCATAACAAAAAATCCAGCGTCTGGCAGGCTAATTATAATATGTCATTGCATCTAAGACACCGTTGACTGAAGAATTCACCGTTATCGTATGTGCCACCAAAAAAGAATAGCTGCCCATTAACCTCTGACATACTGATTATGGTATGCATGTCTCATTATAGACATGTTAATATATGAGAAATGTTTGTCTTAAAATGGGTGGAATACAATACATGGCTCTTCAACATTATCAAGGATGGAAGTTCTTTCCATCTTTCTTCTCTGCACTCTTGGCTTGCTGACCTAACTCTCTTCGTCGTGGCATGGTGGGGAAGTTCCAGGTGGCACCTCCCTTAAAAGCAACACCCAGTCTTCCCCCACTGTGTTGCACTTTATTAACAAGAAACCTGGGAGCCCTCCTGATCCCAGAGCACCATGCATTCCTCACTCATCGGGCAGCAGTGCCGTGTAGCTTGGCAGCCAGGCTGCGGGGAGCCTGAATGACTGGGGTTTGAATCCTAATTCTTATACTTATTGCCTGTGTGACCTTGGGCAAGTTATCTAAATTCCCTTTGCCTCATTTCTCTCATCTGTAAAATGGGCACAATCATATCACCTACCTCATAGGATGAGTGTGAACTTCAGTGAATTCATACATGTACAGTATTTAGAACAGTGTCAGACGTGATGAGCTCTCATAATAATAAGCTATGATTATTATCAATGATAGGTTACAAAAGGCCGACACATGTTATAATCAAAATCTTCATCTGACACCGGATGAACACTCAAGCAGGTGCAGACTTTATAACTTTTCCGGTTGACTGTTAGCTGATAGACTATCTTGTGGAATCTTGGAATTGCAAACACATTCACAACCAAACGAATACAGTATTTTTCTAGCCCTGGCATAGTCCCCTATAAGATTATAAATAAGATCTGAAACTTTCTAGCTATACTCGCAGTTATCTCTGAATCTATAATAATACTTTTATAAATTAAGTTAGCAATGGAAAATATAGATTGTGCTCCTTTCCCTTTAATAACAGGATACCTACTTCTGGGTCTGGATAGTGAGAATTCCTACGGAGAGAATACTGTATTTTCCTGGTTTCTTTGGTTTCTAAGTTTTGATAGCGATTAGTACAAGTTCTGATAGCAATGTTTCTCAGGTCTAGCTCCAAAATTTATCCAGATCTGCTTGGTTTTCAATTCAGATAGCAAGAGTTCAAATGTGGGGTCTCTGCCTGGAAGGTGGGGACAGTTGGGTGGAAAGTAATGGCGGATTGAACATACCATAAATTAGGACGATCTCAAAATTTGGAAGGTAGGGACAATGAGAGATTTTTTTTTCTGGTGTGTTAATAAATCGCTTTAAATAATTGTTAATTCATACTTGTTTTCTTTTTCTTCCTCTGTAAATAAATAGGCTGACTGTGTTGTTATCATCGGAGGCAAATCAAACGAAGCAGGAAAGTGGATGGATGATACCTGTGACAGTAAGCGTGGCTACATATGCCATACGCTTTCTGGTAAGTTCTACCAATCCTCAACTGCCTGGAAGAGCTGAGTTTTTAAATGTACTTTAAAAAATATGTCATTCCCTTGCACAGCAATAGGTTTGATTCTCACTTTAATGCATTTGAGTCTGTGACAGGCAAAAAGGGTGATATTTTCTATACTTTGTTCATGAATCTGCTCCTTCATTCGTTAGCAGGCAGTCCTATGCAGATTAAACTTGATGTTGAGACTCTTCCTCATTTTGTTAGAAATCTGGAACATCTGCCTACATAGTAGCCAAGGGAAAAACCTCCCCTTCACCCTCTACAGGTTCACTGAAAATCCCCGACAAGAGGTAGATTAATAAGAGAAAAGGCATACAAAGGTGTTTGATCATAGTTTTATGTGACGCAGGAACCTTCAGAATGAAGACCCAAAGGTGCAGGGGAAACTGTCCCTTTTTATACTCAGGTTCAACAAAGTACAGACAGCTGTGTAGAAATATGACTGGACAAAAAGGGTCTGATCTAACCGAGCAAGGCCTGTCTGTCTAGATTCTTCTTGGCCTCTGCGTGCAGCATCCTTCCTTCTGGGTGTGGGGCGAGACGCTCTCTGGGATGGGAGGTCTTATGACCTACAGTCAAATAAAATAGGTCAGATAATTTCTTTATGGCCTGTTTTTACACAAAGAGGTTGGGGTGGGGGAGGTTACAGTAATATTTTTAGGTTTTGTGGCTGGCTTTGGAGGAAAGGGGCCCTTGTGTTTATGAACTCCAATGGGATGGAAGGATTCTACTTTCTGTGGCGGGTGTTGGGGGAGGATGGGACTGAGAGACAGGAGGGCAGGAAAAGGTCAGAGAAAAACTTTTGCTTCTGAGAGTGCTTCTGAGGCCTTCATTTTGGGGTATTGTTTTTTGAGTTCTAACACCTACCTGCACCTTTTTTAAATGTCACAGTAGGAACACTTCAATTCGACTCCCATTTTTTTTTGAATCATTGGCACAAAGTGTCATATGAGCCTCATTATCTGCTCTGTATTCTGTGCCTTAAAAAAATGTAGATATCTGATTTGAGGGTTGTTTTTTTCATCTTAGGAAGCTTGAATATGGTTAAATGAAAATGACATGGAGCACGTGGATATTTACTGTGAATCGAGATGAGGGTTGTACACATTTTAGTGTCTAGTGCAACCGGAATAAAAGTGTCTAGCTACATAAAAGGCTTAGAAATTTAAAAATAGATTAGACATGAGGATGGAGGGTGGGGAGCGTTGCTGTCATCTTGCCTATAGCTCTTAGAGGATAAGTTTGAGTTGGAAGGTATTTGTTCTCCCAGACTTAATAGATTTTTCTATACTTTGGGAGAATCGGAGAACTAATGTCAACTCATGACAATGACTAAAAATCACAGAACATATTTTCAGCTAATTGATAAGAACTGCAGGAATTCTAACCTTCTCCTAATCCAAAAGTTGTCCCAAGGTCATGTCACTTTTCTCTTTATACTGTGCCCCACAGCACAAGAATCTTAGGCCACCAGTAATACCAAAGCACGCTGTCTGTACCTCTGTTCTTTAGGCCAAGGGGAGAAGCTCCTTCCAGGAATGAATGGTGATTCATAAGCTTATTTAAAATCATTTTCTTCTTTTTTAAAACATAAGTGATAGCATATTTTGCCAGTAGTTTGCAATTTTTTTTTTTAAAGCGATAGAGTCTTTCTCTGTCCTCCAGCTGGAATGCAGTGGCACACTCATAGCTCACTGCAGCCTTGAACTCCTGGGCTCAGGAGATCTTCCTGCCTCAACCTCCCAAGTAGCTTGGCCTGCAGGCATGTGCCATCACACCCAGCTAATTTTTTTATTTTATTTTTTTAGAGATGGGGGTCTTGCCATGTTGCCCAGGCTGGTCTCGAAATCCTGGGCTCAAGCAATCCTCCCGCCTTGGCCTCCCAAAGTGCTAGGATTACAGGTGTGAGCCACTGCACCCGGCACAGTTTGCAAATTTTTAATGACTCAAGGAAAGGTTCATAATATTAAAGTTGAAAAAAGGCAACACATAAAATTTTATAAGTTATAAATGATCAAAAACCACTAGCAACCCCTACCTCCTTAGAAAAAAAGAATAAAAAAGACCCTATGGAAATGCATCAAAATGGGAATAGTAGAGTGGGATTCTACTCTTCAGAGAGTGGGATTATGGAGACTTTAGTTCCTTCATTATAGTTTTCTGCATTTTTTAAAATCTACAAATATATACATCTATATATGTAAAATTTTTAAAGTAAAGAAACACTATTTTAAAGAGTATATAAAACATATTCTTTTCCAAAATTTTAGAAAATACAGAAACACCTAAAGAAGAGAAAAAACTCCTATGATCTGACCACCTAGAAATAATCTTTCAATATTTTTGTTTTTTCATACGATTTTTTTAATGAATGTTTTTATAAACCAGCAACGTGGACATAGCTAAGTTTCCTGGTTGTATATAGCCTTCCATGAAACATTTTTTTTTAGCTTTACTTAAAACCTCATTTGTCACCTTGAATGACCCAAACATTTTTTAATGGCATTAAGACAAGCCCAGATCTCCCTAAGCTGGGAAATTGTAAGATTGTTCAATTCCAGACAGGCTGTAACGTTTTAAAGATCCTGGCTGGGGTCTCCGGGTTTAATGATATTGTACCAACACAAGAGGGCAGCAACGGCAGGAGAGAGGGGAGGATGCCCTCCTTTTTGCTGAAATAAAGTTACTGTGTCGCAGTCACGATCAAAAGAAAGTTCGGCACTTCTGTAGCGTGGAACAAGGCAGATACTGAGTCAAGTTGGTGTAAAGTAAAGCACATTGGAGAAGTGGCCAAGACAAAAACGGATAGGTAAGGATATCTACATCCCTAGACCAGGGAAAAGAGCCAGACTGTAAATATTTTAGGCTTCCTGGACCATCTAGTCTCTGCTGAAAATACTCAGCTCTGCTGTGGGTATAGACAGACACAGGCAGTATATAAACACACGAATCTGGCTGTGTCCCAATAAAACTTTGTGGACACAAATTTGAATTTCATACAGTGTTTACATGTCCTAAAGTATTATACTTCTTTGATTCCCCCACTTTCCCCCAACCATTTAAAAGTCTTTGTAGCTCATGGGCTACAAAGACAGCCAGCTGGTCAGATTTTACCCTCTGGCTCTTGTTTGCGGACGTCTGCCCTATGGCATCAGCATCATGTAGAAGAAACAAACGCTTCGCTGGGATGTTGCCATGAAGTGGCCCAGAGAACCGGTGGGCGTAATGCAGTGATGAGAAGCCCGTGCTAGGAGGTTGGGGAGGGAAGACAGAAAGCTGAAGCAAATTCTGGCTTATAGGGGCTCCAACCCCTGGGTCAGTTTAGATAAGATACGGAGGGCCTAGGCGAAGGGCATAGGGAGACATCAAGAGTGAAGCTTAATCTTGCGATCAATGTTCGATGAACTGGGGCTTGTGTGTGGCTTCGTTGCAGAGCCTGAACCAGTCCCCTGAAGGTGCGTTACTCACAGTTGCAATCAAATAGATACAAACTCACGGATGGAATGGAACAAATGGAGGGAGGTGGGAGGGGGGAAAGACTGGTCTTGATATTGACATTTGACTGAAATGGAAAAATAAAGATTAGTAATGACATAACGATCTACGTTCTTTCATTTGTAGCATTAAACTGTGGCATTTCTTTCATCCAGATACTAGATTATATTGAATTTGCAATACTTTTTTTTTTAGTTGAGAAAGTTGATTGTATAATCTACCTCAGTATTCCAAATACAGTTTAGAAATTATTTAGTTTGAATCAGGCATACTGATTTAAAAAGAAAGCTTTGTTTTCTAGTGCGAAATGGCTTATGAAAGTTTGGATTTATGCTACTCTGATTATTTTTATGATGGATAAGTTATGGTAGTCATGTAACGAGGGTACTCAATTAATGTTTCTCGATAATGCTAATGAAAATAATCTTTTTATTCTAGATCCGTCCTTGTCTAATTCTCCAGCCACAGTTCCAACAGATGGCTTTATTAAATATGGTAAAAGCAGCTATTCTCTCATGAAGTATAAATTTCAGTGGCATGAAGCAGAGAGCTATTGCAAGCTTCACACTTCCCTTATTGCCAGCATCCTGGATCCCTATAGCAATGCATTTGTGTGGATGCAAATGCAGACATTTAAGGAACGTGTGTGGATTGCCCTGAACAGTAACTTGGTAAGACGCTGGAACCCTGCACGATTTGATGGGATTGCTAAATTGTGGTTGGATATGATTATCTTTCTGTTCGTCCTGTTGAACACTTGTTATTTGTAAGAAACAGTGCTGAGCAATGTGAACGATACTGACATGCGTGAGACCCAATCTTTCAAGGATCGAACACCTTTGGGGATCTGGCCAGCTCGTGATGTGTGTCGGAAATCAAACTAGGAAAGAATTATCTTACTGATATTAAGTCTCTTATTGCTTTTGACTATTGAAATTATATCCTGGATCTCAACAGTTTTCTTAATTCACTTCTCTCTTTCCAGTGTCAGGATTACAACTATGCCATGGGAATGAAGGAAGCAGCTCAGGGACATAGTTAGTGGCTGGTGATGGGGATACTTTTTATTTGTTGTGGCAAGCCACTCTAGAATTATTTATAGTTCCTAAGGTGGTGAGGCTTCCATCCATGTGTGAGAAATATTTCGTTGCAGTCAATTCCCTGAATTCTATAACAGAGAAAGAAAGGATGGCAGAGAATGGGGTGGGGGGAGGACCTAAGAGTGGTGATAGAGTCACCAAAATATTCCTAACATGAGTCTTCTCTGATGCCTTGTCAATCTCCCTTTATCCATCCATCTAGCTAGTCAACCAGAAAACTTTCTAGTAGAAGAAATAGGTATGTCAATAAGTAATTAAGAGATAATACCAGAAATGTCAAATAGAAGCATAATATATACAAAGAGTTATGGGAAGCGAGAAAAGGGACCAGTTGGGCCAGGGGAGGAGGACCAAGACCAAGAGAGTTTCCCAGAGAAAATCAAACTTTGTAGGTGTGGTCTAGGATGGCAGAACATAAAGAAGGAGTGTCAGGGGGAGAGAAAAGGACAGAAGGGGGTAAAATTAGAAAGTAGGTCAGTGTCAGATTTTAGGGAGCTTCCAATGCCATGGTTCAGAAATGGAAATTTACATTTCGTGCAATGAGTATTTCCTAAGAAGGGACGTGAATACTGAAAAGTAAGTAGCTCTATAATGAGTTCTGTGATTAAACTTGGGCAAAGCGTTTTTAAGTCTCCGTTGACTATGTTTTGAATAATTAAGTTGTTTGATAAATCATTCATTTTCCTCTCACAGACATGTTCATAACTCTCTTATGAGTTCAAAAGAGGCTTTTATTTACTTTTTTTAAAGATTAAATGGTTTTCTAC